CTCACTTTTTTACCTTCTTAAATAATATGCATTTAAAGACTAAATTTTCTAAAGGTAAATGATTGCATCATTAATGAGACTACATAGAAAATAAGATTTAATAAGGAGAGTAATTTTTGGGGACAGTGCCAATTAAGTTTCTTTCCATCTCTGAACTCTAGAAACTTTACCAGTGAAAAATGGTTGTACTGAACTTAATTTCTCATTCCGTGTAATAATTTGAACAAATACCTCATGCAAATCACCCACAGAGATAAGCAATGCTTGCACGACAAGGAGTCTCAGTTAGTCTTTCAAAAATCTTACGACCGATCATCCCTTTTGTTATTTCCCTACCCTCAAGATTTTTTAATATATGTTGTGTTTGCTTTATTTTTTTGAAAACTGCATAATTTAATCATTATGCTTAAAAACAAGATATCAGCCGTTATCACACCCTCACTGTTCACGTTGATATGAACTATTTTTAGTCTTGAATAATTATGCAATCTTCATAGTAATATATTCTTGAAAATTGACTCATCTTACAATTTTTAAGGTCACTGCTAACTTTCTGAATATTTAAGTTGGAGCAAAGTAAACGATATTAATTCATCCTGTGAATATTCGAAATATAATCCAACACTTGCACTGCTATGCTACTTTACCGAGAAATACTTTTTCCTTTCAATTTCTTTGCACATGTATTACATGTTATAGCAGAAAAATTAAGATTTCAACGTAGAAATAATTTCGAAACTGAAATGAAATTGTGATGTATTTGATTTTGATTTGAATTAATTTATTGTACGAATAATGCATATTAATCTGTGCATTATACTTGATCAATGACTGATTAGTTTACAGCAAGTTCAAAGGATATATTATAGTGTTAACAAACAAAGTGTGATAGAGATGAATTCATGTAGCTAAAATAATGCATGTCGACCGATAATATTCATCGTCAGCGATTCACAAATCTTCTTGAAATGCTCATCGTTGCTTGAAAAACTAATGGAAGAGCTTTCCTCACAATTTCCACAATTAAATCAGTTCAGAGTTAAACGATTCCTAATCATGATCCATTTCTAACGAAGCGACTCAGAGTTAATCCTAATTTTTTTTCATCCGTGAATTCGGACCTGAAATTAACACCAGTAATCAATCAGTTGAAATAACGAGCAACCAAAATAGAACAAATTACATCTCACTGATATGATGCAATGGATGGTGTTTAAGGAACCGTCCCGAGTTACCAGTAATACGTCATAATAGACGAAAGGTCAGCATCATTACATATCTTTTGATCTTGCAACTGGTTGACAAGATGGCAATCAACTTAGTGAAAATAAATGCCAGAATAAATTGGTTATACTGCATAGTTTTCGAAAAAAAGCTGCAAGATAACAATCTAACGATCTGCACAACAGAATGAAGATTATACTGCAAAATTGAATAAACCCCAGAATTTCCGCTGCTTTTCCTAGCAATTAATTTACTTCACATAAACACAGTCATTAATTAATTTTCTTCACGAACAACAAAGTAAAAAAAGACTGCTGTTTGTGGTTAGTTCTACTGCCAATCGTTCCAGTCAGTGTATTTGCTAGCACTGATTGCCAAGGCACACCCTGACAACCATCACTACATCAATCACGACTTCCCGATTAAACCCCGTCCCCACCAAAACCACCAAGAATCTTGACCATCTATGATCACCGTCATCTGATGCATACCAGCCCCTAGAGGGACTACCAAAAAATTAGGGTACAAGTCATCGATGCCCTCCCACCCTATCACCAGTGGGAGGACTAGATGCTATACAGGAAGTAGGAGACATTTTTATAC